GAAAGGGCTCTTGAACCTGCGATGAACAGCTTGATTAAAATTATCACCTAGTGCACAGCTGCTGTGAAAAAGACTCCATGATAGCATAACTAGGAAAGTCATGAAAAATAAAACTGCAGCTTCATACTCCTCTTATACCAGTCTATTGTGTTTCTGCACTATCATGTTTATGTACTTAGAATATTGCATATAGTTCAGGTCATTGCATCTAAACAAGGGCATTATATAGTAGCAAAAATGTAGAAAAGGGCAACCGAAATGATGAAGGGATTGCAGCAACACCCCTGTGAGCAAAGGTTACAGCAGCTGAAATACGCTAAGGGGGACTAAGGGACACATGACAGACATGTGTAAAATTGTGATAAGTGTGGGAACATTTTTCTTCCTCTCCCAAAATACTATAGGACAAGGTCATCCCATTAAGCTGAGAAGTGGGAGATTAAGGACAGGTAAAAGTAAGTATTTCTTCAAATGATGCAATGCAATTCATATCCCTGAGATGTAGTGATGACTACCAACTTGGACACTTTAAGGCCAATAGGACAAATTTGTGGAGAACAAGACTGTAAGTGGCAACTAGTCTTGATGGCTGTGTGTCACTTCCCTATACACATCAGTTCCCGAGGAACTTGGGCAGGAAGGGGCTCCTGCATTCATATCCTGCTTGGTTTGGCACTGGGTGAAAAGAATGCTGGACTAGATGGACCACTGGCCTGATCCACCAGGGTTCGTCTTATCTCCTGAAACATATTCCCTTTTCTATTGATGACCTCCCCTTTAAATAGGATAGTGGCTGCTGGTAATTTCAAATGTTTTATTTATGTTCATCCATTGGTGGATATTAATTTTAAATCAAGGATATTATTTGCATCGGGAGCAATTCTAGACTTGGAACTTGGCCATTGTAACATGCTTATAAGTGCACTCCGAACAGTGGAATGGTTTATCTAATTGGTTTAGTCAATTTTCATCTTGATGAGTTGGAAAAAAAATCTGTTCCAGAAAACAGTTTTTAAAAATTCCTAACCAACATTAAAAGAATAAAATTAAAACAGGGACATTTTGACTGCTGTAAACACTACTGGCTCCTGTGATGTATAGCACTTGTGCTTAGAACAGAAGTCTCAAATGTAGCACATGCATCTGGTAGGAATTGTTCTTATGTTTTGAAAAAACAAAGGATAAAATCACATAGTGACTAAGTAATTAGCAACGATAATCATCCTGCATAAAACCAAATGTGCCTTATAGGTGTAACTCTGTTCTGACGCAGCTTTGATTCCGAAATTCTCCAAAGGCAAACATACATTGTTGATATGCATGAATAGTATGTATTAAAATACATACTACTCAGGTAAATAGGAAGACAGCATGTAAATAGGAAGAGGAAGGGGAGACAAGTGGTGGGACCACTAAATAAGGAGGAAGGAGATCCAGTGAATGATATGAGGGAACAGGCACAGATGCTAAATGACTATTTTGCCTCTGTGTTCTCCCCAAAGCAGGACGGGGGATATCCGCATAGAAGCTTAGATGAGGCTGGGGACTTAGGGGCACAGATTAGAGTCAACCCGCTTGAAGTCAAGGGGTTCCTCAGGGCATTGGACATTACAAAGGCACCAGGCCTTGACGGGTTACACCCGAGAGTACTTGGGGTTCTCTCACGCCCGCTGGCCTCCATTTTTGAGACCTCGTGGAGAACAGGTGAAGTTCCAGAGGACTGGAGGGTGGCATCAGTGGTCCCAATTTTCAAAAAGGGTAGTAGAAGGGACATGGGGAATTATAGACCGGTTAGCCTTACATCCATTGTAGGAAAAACAATGGAAAGTCTCCTAATAGAGAGAGATCTAGTGATGCTAGATAGGGAAGGGAGGCTGACAGCCACACAACACGGCTTCCGCAAAAACAGGTCCTGCCAGACAAACCTTGTGGAATTCTATGACAAGGTTTCGAGATGGCTAGATGGAGGGGATGCAGTGGATGTGGTATACCTGGATTTTAGCAAGGCCTTTGACAAAGTGCCCCATGATATCCCGGTGGAGAAACCAAGGAGTTTTGGGATACACCAAAGCACTGTCCGGTGGATTAGGGCATGGTTGACTGATCGAAAGCAGAAGGTAACCATTAGCGGGGAATCATCAGTATGGCGGCCAGTAACAAGCGGGGTCCCCCAGGGCTCTGTCCTGGGACCGATCCTGTTTAATCTTTTCATTAACGACATGGAAGAAGGGGTGAACAGTCTGCTGATCAAATTCGCAGACGACACTAAAACTGGAGCAGTGGCCACAACTGAGGAGCAGGTACTCCAGATCCAAAAGGATCTGGACAGACTATGGAAGTGGGCAGCAGACAACAGGATGGCGTTCAATGTGGATAAGTGCAAGGTCTTGCACTTGGGGCATAGGAATAGGTGTCATAAGTACAGGTTAGGTGACAAGTGGCTGGGGAACAGCAATTGTGAAAGGAACCTCAGGGTACTGGTTGACTGCAGGCTAAACATGAGTCAGCAGTGTGATGCGGTGGTCAAGAGGGCAAACGCCACCCTTGGTTGCATAGCCAGAAGTGTGGCTTCTAGATCAAGAGAGGTATTACTACCACTCTACGCGACTCTGGTGTGCCTGCATTTGGAGTACTGTGTTCAGTTTTGGGCCCCTCATTACAGAAGGGATATAGTCAGGTTGGAGTCAGTGCAGCGTAGGGCCACAAGGTTGGTGGCCGGTTTGCAGGGGATGCCGTATGAGGCGAGACTGAGGGAACTGGGTCTCTTCAGCCTGGAGGAGACTCAGAGGGGACATGTTGGCGACATACAGGTATGTGAGGGGATGTCACATGGAGATGGGTAGAGACCTGTTCTCCCCTGCAGAGGAAGGCAGGACACGGTCCAATGGAGCAAAGCTCAGGGAGCCAAGGTTCCAATTGGATGCCAGGAAGCACTTCCTAACAGTCAGGACCCCGAGGGTGTGGAATGGGCTTCCACGAGAGGTCGTTGAGGCCCCATCGGTGCGGGTGTTCAAGGATAGGCTGGACGTGCACATGGTGGGCATGTTGTGAGCGGAGCTGGCTGGTGCCGGAGGTCAGACTAGATTGCCCGGGAGACCGCTTCTGACTCGCTCTGTTTCTATGTTTTAAAATGTTATGTTTTCTTTTATGACTTGATTGCCTACATGAAAAGACGTGCATGCTGACTGGAGCCAGTTATTTTACATTGTTATAGCAGCCACGAAAGACATACCTTTCACAGCTTTCAGAAGGATTAGGGATTCAGTTCTTGAACTGTAAAATATAGAAACCTAAAATCCAGAAGACGAAAAGGATGATATACTTTATGTAGATTCCTTTCTTTTTAGATGGGACTACAGAAAGTGAAAACAATTCAGGAACTTTAATTATTTTTTTACTGAGATTGCTGCGTTCAAGGTCCAAATTTCAGCACTATAATCATCATGTTATGCAAATCAGATGAGCAATTTATGCAGATCAGACTTGCTATTTCTATGCACCAAATTTGTCTAATTTCCATGAAGTGCTTTACCTCTATTGTTGCCACATATAGGAGGCAGCAAGAGAAAAAACAAAGGAAGGCCTTTTCCTGACCATTACATCCCCTGACCTTCCACCCACTGACTACGCTACACTCCTGTTCTTAGGCTGCTTCTGCCCTAAGAAGGTCTTGGCTAAGGACTTGGCTCCCCTGACCTCCATGTGCTTTGCTATTTCCAGCCTGCCTCCTCTTCATGACACCTAACTCAGGTAGGACTCTCTGTATGGCAACATTTTTATAAATATTTCCATGAGAATAATCAAGCAAAAGAACTGCAAATAAGAAGGGATGACAGGTCTATGGATGACTGAGGTAGAAAGATCTAGCCCTGATATGCAGCTGTTTTCCCTACAGAAGTTTTTCAGGAAAAGGAGCATTAGATTAACAACATTCTAAAGAATAAGTGCCAATAGCAAACTTGGTAGGTACTGTATGGAGATGCCTGTGTGAAGAAACTCACTCTGTATTAGAGATAAAGTTGTATTTGTAATTACAGCAAAGAATTCTGCAGAGCTATAAATTGAAGGATAATGTTATAGAAAAGCAAAACTGAGAACAGCTTTTTAGAACAAATCCCAAGTCATAAATTGAAGGGATACACAGATACAGCCTCAGAAGAGGAGAAGTTTTCACACACTCAGGAAGGGAACACTTGAAGCATGCTTTTTGAAAGGCTGGGAAATGTTCCAGTAAGGATGATTAGGTAAGAAGCAAAAGGAGAGTGTATAAATAGGAAAGTATACCAAAAAAGGAAGGAAAACAAGGCTTTGATTGCTTCTATACCACAACCATTGGTGTTGGTATGGCATTGCCTTTTTACAAGAAAGTGAAAATGGATTCAAAAGAGAAGTTCCATGGAATACTATATTATCCAGTAAGCCTCTTCCCAATGAGCAAGATTTTAAAGTACCTAAGAAAAGCCATGCTGGATCAGACCAAGGGTCAATTTAATCCAGCATTCTTCTCATGGACTGGCCAAGCAGCTGGCCACAAGAAATCCATAAATAGAATATGAGTGCAACTGTAGCATCACAACCAAGGTCCTGAGCAACTGGTATACATATGCATACTATTCAGTACTGGAGATAGCATACAGCCATTAGGACTAGAATCAATTGAGAGTCCTCTCCTTCATAAATGTGTCTAGTCCCCCTTTGAAGCCATCCAAGTTGGTGGCTATCACTGAATCTTAACGGAAGTAATTCTATACTTTAACTATGCATTGTTCACTTCTTTTTAATGGCTCTTTAAAGCTTGGGCTTAAATGGGCAAGGAGCAGGGAAAGCTATTTTGCTGCCCCCTTCCTTAGTATGTTAAGAACTAATATTTCTTAGTATGTTAAGAAATACTAAGAAAGTATATTTGTCACTAATACTAAGTGACAAATATAGTCTCTCTTATATTAATGCATTGCTACAGAAACTTAATTATGGCAAGCAAGCAATTACATTCACAATACCATTTCAGCTTCTTCTTCTTCTGTGTCTTGATCTTCATGGTCTTTATCTTTCTTGTGGTTTCCTATGGAAACTATCTGCAGAATACAAACATGTAAATATATGTTCTGTATCTAAATTGTACTTCATTATATACAGATGGAACAAGCATTACCATTCCCAGCAAGGCAATTCTCCAAGATACTCCTTTCTACTTCTCCATTCCAGGTTTCCAGTTTCTATCTTTCACTCATCATTAAGATCTTCTAAGAAATATCTTTCCTTGTTTTGTTTCCCTTAAAGTTTTTGTATTTTTACAGACCTTGGAATTTCCCCAAACCTTCTGAAACCTCCATTTTTGCATGGGAATTGCTATTTTGATAACATGAGAATTGTTACTCAGAGAGCAGCTTTGCACTTAGTATATAGCATGCTATCCTGTTGAAAGTGCTAATTAAAGTGCAGGTACAAACTCTCTCCCACAAGGTTTCATCATTAGTAAGATATGCTCATTATATTGCTTGTCTCAATACAGTTTTTTAAGGCTTGGAAAGGTATCAGAAAATAAATGAAAACTGTAAACCACTTCACATATTAAGTAATCACATTAGTTTAGATCCTGATACCTGTGAACATAACTCTGATCATTCTGCTCCTCCTCACAGTAGGGATTTCTACTGGGTGAAGTCTTTTTCCACAAGTGGGAAAAGCCTTTCCATCTGTGCATGAAACTGAAACATCCAGCTTCTTATTCTGGGGTGCAGATCAATTAATATTGATCTGTCAAGCACTGTCAAGCACCCTTTAAATGGCATACTTAATGGCAACTCGATTTCTTTAAGTTCATATGGGAGCACTCCCTTGACCATACAATCCATGTGCCAAGGACACACATGCACATGAACATGCACACCAGCTTCCTTAGAAACTGTCCCAGAGCTGTGAGATTTTAATTTTTGAATTTGTATTTATTGCATATGTGTTTGAATGTTAAATCTGCCATGAAACCTTTGGTTTATGAAGAAGAAAGCCACTAACTAAAATATAGGATGTAGCTTTTATTTCCTAAAAATCTGCAAGCTGAGGGCCAAAAAATACATTTAAAAGGAATAAACTGTAAAATAACCATTATGCTAGCTGTGTAACTAAATTTGGAAAGCAAAGAAGAAACTCACCCTTGGAAGAATGGATAAGCTTTGGATCACAAAAACAATGGGGTTGCCTGCACTTTTTATAGCTTCTACAGCTTCTTCATGAGTAGCATTTTGTAGGTCTGTTCCACATACCTGCAGGACATCAGATTCTTTAGATATTCTGGTGGTGACCATTGTTTGATTTGCTAATTCAGCAGTGTGCTTTGTTAACAATTTTTGTTGATGACCAAATACACATGCACACACACGCACACACTCTCAAACGTACATTTCATAAAGATTTTATGGGGAAGAAAATAATAATGGAGGAGAAAAATATGTATCTTGGAGAAACTGTTTTGTTGTCAGAAATTGGACCTGATAATTCTCTGAATAGCCCCAGTGCACTAGTGGAGGAAGCATCAACACAGAAGCAAACATAAATTGTACTTCCTGTACTATGCATATGGTTAACATCTCCAGTGGCACTTCCTCCCCAAATGGCTATGCAGTACAAAAATTTCCTCATGGGGTCACACTTAAAACATGAACACTCTGTGCAAACAGAACACGGAGAGCTTTATACATCTGTGAAGCCAGCCTATGAATGTTTAGTAAGTTTGTTACTGAAATTTAAATTTATTTCCTCTTCAAAATATGAAGCTGTCAGGCAAGTGCAGACAACTACATTATTTTTTAAACTTAACCTACCTCAAGTATTTTATCTCCAGTTTTGAGTGCTTTTGTTCTTCCTGCTGGGCTGTCTTCCAAAACTTGCTTGATAAAGATACCTTTAAGCTCTTCTCCGTTCTTTAAGCGCTTTATAACTGTATGCCCACCAACAATACTGATGCCAAGAGGCATATGAGGGTCTCGAAAAATTTCAACACTGTGAAAAGGAAAGCAATGCTTTAACAGGGGAAGCTTCAGTTATATAAATTTTTGTATAACTTTATCATCCCATTGTTCTTTTTAAGGTGTAATATAAACCTTTAAATGAGAGTCAATTTGTATGTTACGGTCTAGTGGAAACTGCAGATAGGAAATCACTAACACTTATCGCCTACTTTGGTGAAACAAGCAAAGTGCTACATTCATACACTAACGCTTCATTCAAGTGATATTATATGAGATGGGCACCACCAGTCCTATTTGGACTGACAAAGCCAGTGGAAAACAACTGGGTTTACCTACAGGCAACCATTTCAAATATCCACATTTCATTGTAAGAAAACTGCAGGAGGGCAGTTGTCTGGGATCAGTCTATGAGGTGCAGCCACCCACTTTGTCTTAGGTTGTCAACTAGGACATGCAGAGCAATTCCCAATGTCTCCTTTCCCAGGGATAGCCATGTCCAATGGTTTTCTCCATTCCCCCAAATTTCCAATAGCTCCACTGAATCTATGTTCTCATTAAGCACAAAGCTTTCAATATTCCAGTCTTGGTCCAGAAGGTTCAAGCATTAGCATAGAAACACTTATACATTGCACTTTTCTGCAAATTTCTTTGGCATAGAAATACCTCCTCCCTTTTGCCACTTTAAATAGCTGCAATTATCTTCTGTGTACTCACTGTAAAGTTCAGTTCTATCTTCATGGTGAGCAACATTAATGCTGCCATTATTCATTTATTTATTTGAAAAACTTCCAACCTGCTATTCAGGATACTTTGCCCCTTCAAAGTGGCTTGCAAAAGGGAGGGAGGGAAGGAGAAAGGATGGATAGTCGGACAGGCAAGCAAACAATCATAAAGCACGAATACAATGCTCTAAAATACAGTTTCAGAGTTAAAGCCTACAGTGATTAAAATTATTCCAGCAGTACAGATTAATTAAACGCAGAACAGAAAAAATAATTATGCACAATTCTAAATTAAAATCCCACAGCAGTTAATTCCACCTTCCACCCATCACAGCAAATTAGTTACTCTCAGACTGGAATAAAAATCTTTCCAAAGTCCATGCTAGCATCAGTTTAGATGTTCTTCTGTGAGCTTTAGAAAGCACTAGCCATCTTGTTCCACAGTACTTAACACAGAACATGTCCAGTACGTACACACACAGCTTTTCCTGAAATACTCCATGTACCCAACAGATCTAAACTGGCCCCTCATCCCTTCTGTTTGGTTCCTTGTCCGCATTTTGGTCCCAAGATCAATTTAGACAAATTTATGAAGGTCAAGCTGCCAACGGCTGCTATCTGTGATAGATATATGTTGCCTCTCAGGACCAGTTGCTGCAGAATGTGAGTAGGAAGGGACTTATGCCCTGCATGTTGGCTTCCTATTTGGGTATCAGTTTGGCCCCAGGACTACATTGATCTTTGGTCTGATCCTGTACAGCTCATCTGACGTTCTTAATTAATTCATATTCTGCCCAGCTCTGAATCCAGGCTTATGTTTTCAATAAGAAATCTTGCCTAAAATTAAATTGGATAGCAAGCCTAAGTGCTGACATAAGCAGCTATATTACTATTGTTCCACTAGTCTATAAGCTCTTATTTCTGCAAGTTGCATACAAGCCTGGACTGCAAGCCATGACTTCCATATATGGTTGTAATTAATGCACTTAAAAGTTCCAGTAACAGACTCATGGCACCATACCTAACCCACCCCTTGCCAAAAAAAGCCCTGCTTGCTAGCTGTATACAGCATGGAGGCTGTCCTTCTGAGACATGAAAAACAATATCCAGTTGCAATTTGTCCCATTGTTTTTCCTATTTGCTTTCCTAGAAAGTTATTTAACATTCAGATGAAATCAACTGCACTTAGCTGGCTGGCAAGTGGGGTTGGGGAGTGTATATGTGTGTTTGTGTGCTGGCATGAAAGGGGTTGTAATCGATGTGGACTGAAAGGCAAACTAGTTATGAAAATAATAAATCAATTTTTGCCACAGTTAAATGAAATGGTTCCGATACTGTTCACATTTGCCTAAACTTCATGAGTAGTGTATTTTATCATTTCTCTTTCAACAGCTCGTCCCAGCAGACTTAAGAACTTCAGAAATTCCTTCAAGTTTGAGGGTCTGGTATGCATACTGACAAACATTCCAGTGAGTATACGGTAGTCCCCTGAAATTCGCGGGGCTTGCGTTCCTAGAGCACCCTCAAATCGTGAAAAACCGCGAATTTTGAATGTGGTAAAGGTTCATTGCCAGAAGCCTTAGAACAGGGAGCCAGTTGAAAGGTGCCGACGATGGGCGTGGACCACCAAGGAGGTGCGGGTGGGCGGCCTGGGCCAGCGGGGGGGGGGGGCAGGTGCGCACGCAGCGGGACAGGGGCGGGCAGGCGCACGCAGAGAGATTGGTTTGGACTCGCTAGGAGAAAATGTTCTCCTTGTGAGCAAGCCACCAAACGGAAAATTCCGTGAAAGACTGAGGCCGTGAACACTGAACTGCGACTTCATGGGGGTATACTGTACAGCCAGTTAATATAACACTACTTTAAGTCTTTCTGGGCCAGTATTATCTTTAGGAAAGTATTTGTGTAGGGCCATTTTATATATTACAGAGAAATGTTTGCCACCAAGTATATACTCAGCAGGAAGCTGAAGCACGTCTGTGATAAGAGCACCGGTACAACAAATGTCTTAAGTATGCACAAACCTAATACACCTAATACAATGCACACTCAAGAATGTAATGTAATGCAATAATATCAAGCTGCCCTAACTACGAGGACCACTAGTAAGATGGGGATATAAGGTGGGATACAATAATAATAATAATAATAATAATAATAATAATAATAATAATAATAATATCAGACGCAAGCAAAAGGGCCACAGCTCAGTGGTACAACATGTGCTTTGCATGAAGAAGGTCCCGGGTTCTGTTCCCAGCAACTCCACATACAGGCAGGGAAAAATCCTGTCAAAATATGTCAATAGTACTTGGCTAGATGGACACACCAAATTCCTATGTTCTGATGTTCTAGATAGTACAAAAATAAGCACCCCCCCCCACAAATACAAATGTTTATGGCCTCACCATTCTGGAAAATTTGGGAAAAAATGAAGCATTTTCCCATCCTTAAGATAGCTGAACTGCAAGAATTAATAGGCGAACCAACATTCAACTACATAATTTAATTGCAATGGAGAAGTATCAAGAATCAAGAGAACTGGTTCAGTAATACACAGTCTAAACATTCATTCTACCAGAAGTATTTATGAAAGCATGAATAACAACTTCCGGTAGAAGTTGTTCTCCAACAAAAGATGACAAGCTAAGACAACTCTATACTTCCTAATCAAAGAACTTGAATACCTCAAGAAAAATTGAAAGATTGATCAACATACGTTTGGGGTGCTCCCCAGTGGCTGAAAACTGGTGTTTCTTCTCCTTCTCCTTCTTCTCTCTCAGGCAGTTCACTAAATAAAATGGAAATAAAATTCAGCTGCCCAGAAAGGCTATGTGGCATTTATCTACACAATGCAGTATATATTGCAGGTTTCACATTTGCATATGTCTTAAAATCCAGAGTCAGATATGCTTGTTTGCCTCTTTGTCAACACACATTGGAGAAGCTGAAGCACAGATAAAATGAAAAAGGTTCTGCATCTAAGTGGGGCTTCTCTTAATTCATAGAAACATAGAAACAGAGTGAGTCAGAAGGCGCCTCCAGCCGGCTCCACTCACGACATGTCCAAATTCCGATGTTAAGATGATCTGCCTCTAAAATATGAAATGCCAGTGTGGTGTAGTGGTTAAGAGTGTGGAACAGGGTCTCAGGTGATATGGTTTCCAGTCTCTGCTCAGTCATGGAGCTCACACTGGATCAGTGAGCCAGTCACAGACTCTCAGTCCAACCTACCTCACAGGCTAAAGCAGACTGGGAAGACTGTTCTGTCCCATAACCTAATTCAGTTCAGGACACATAAGCATGCATTTTTAGCTGAATGCTTCTTTTATACCTAGACAGCCCTAGTCTAAGCAGAACAGAATCTTGGGCACTGGAAAGATCACACTCTTCCATCTTCGATTTATTTCTTTTGAGATCATCATATGCACACAGAAGATCTTTCTGGTTATTTTGCATCTTGCCATCTGAAAGGAAGAGATGGGTTATTGTTTCATGATGTTGAGATTTTGCTATAAATAACTGACTAGAAAGTAGGAGCTCTAGTCAGGTAGGAACCATAGACACTTTTATGAGTGGTAAATGCTCATTCGGTAGAAAAAAAACAACACACAACACAATTAGACACATTAACCTGAAATAAATATGAAGACTCAGACAACAATTTCTGAAAATATGATAGCACTGACACTGTTACTCATGTCCTTCTCCTTATACTATTTTATTAATAATGATGCCATTTCACTGATTTAGCCAGCAGAAGCCAGTGATTTAGAACACTGAAGGTAAAACACATGACACCCATCAATATTTCTAATTAATATAGGTAGAGAAAGGGAAATTTAGCAGAACATGGAGGGTTTGAGCAGACTCTTGCCTACTGTAATACTAATATCTTCTGCAAGATTTCTAAGTGTCATTATTTTAAATTCACAATTGCTTCCTGTATAGTAGTAATACATGTATAAATGCAATATTTCAATACTCAGCTCAAATGCTCTCAGCTAGATGAACACCATGTAACAATTTTTGTTTTGCTCATTCCCAATCTGGTCTTATGACAAAAATCTATTAATGATGATGAAGGTGAAGATCATTGGATCATCTGCACCTAGGAACCAAATGCATACTTACAAAATAGGGGATACTTGCCTCAACAAAGTGAGAAGGATCCTGGAATTATTGTAGATCACAAGCTAAATATGAGCTTGTGTATGATACAACTACAAGAAAGATAAATGCTATTTTGGGCTGCATTAATAGAAGCAACATTCCTAAAGCCTGAGATGTACCAGCTCGGAACTGGTCAGGCCTCATCTGAAGTGCTGGGTCCAGTTCTGGGCACCAAAGTTTAAGAAAGATGCATACTATATGATCAGGAGCCTGAAAAAAGCCCTCTGAGAAGAGACTGAAAGGATTTAGCATGTTTAGCCCTGAAAAGATGGAAGGGAAATGTGATAGCACTATTTAAATACTTGAAAGGTGGTAATAAAGAAGAGGCTGTGATCTCTTCTTGACCTTCCCATAATGCAGGATATGGAAAAATGGGCTCAAGTTGCAGAAAGTCAGATTCCAGCTGTATGCCAGGAAAACCTTTTTACTTTCACAACAAGATGGCAATGGAAATCATTACCTGGGGAATTCATGGGCTTTCCAACACTGAAGGCATTCAAGATGCAGTTCTACAGCATCTGTCAGGCTTGCTTTAACTTGGGGTCCTTCATTAAGCATGGGTTGGACCCAGTGGCCTTGTTGGCCCTTTCCAACTCTATTCTATGATTTACTGCAGCTCTTTGAGCTGAGAAGAGTTTGAAAATGTGTAGGTAATACCTGACAAGCACTGTTCATGAATACATAAGTCCAAATTGTTCAGCAAAGGACAGCTTCATGTTTTCGTTAAACTCCATCATTCTCCACAGCTTCTTTTTACCAGCCCCTATCCCAACAAGGCTTCTTATCCTTATACAGTGGTACCTTGGCTCGTAAACTTAATCCATTCCATGACTCTGGTTGCAAACCAAACTGGTCATGAGCCAAGTCAAATTTCCCCATAAAGTTCAATGTAAATAAGGTTAATCCATTCTGTAACTATTTTTCTAATCACAAAAATTTGAAGCAAAGTGACAAAGAACAACAAAGATTGTGGCCATCTCCCCCGAGTACGAGCGTGGCCTCCTCTCACCCCAAGCATGACCATGATCACGGCCGTGTTCCCTGCCGGCCGTGACTGCGATCACAGCCTTAGGCGCGATCGTGGTTGCGCTCGGGCAGGGAACACGGGCGCAATCACAGCCATCTCCCCCCACCACAAGTGCATTGCAGTCATGCTCATGCAGGGAAGATGGGCACGATCACGATCATCACCGAATACAGAGTTCACAACCTGAGGCAAAATCTTTCTGAAATTTCTTTTCGCAGCTTGATTTGGTCGTGAACTGAGGCATTTGTGAGCCGAGGTACCACTGTATTCCAGTTTTCTAAGCATTACATTAATGATTCTAAATTATTTTAAAAGAATTTAAATCTCATATACAGAATACACAGAATATAGTGGGAAAATGCAACCAAATTTCAAATTTATGATAAATTACTTGTATCAAAATGTCACCAATTAATTATGCAGAACATTATTTTTGTATTCTGAACTGGAGCCACTTTTCATCTTTTTAGGTACTAAATTATTGAATAATAGCCAGGGAAAAAACAATGCAACAGAACAAGAAAAGGTGAAAGAAAATAACTATAGTTAAATAAGACAGGGCCTACAAAACAAAAGAGGTGAGTCAAAACCAAATTCAGCTCATTATACTTACCATCCAATACAGTCTTTTGTTGGATGTATTCCACTGAGGCTCTAGGGCACATTAAGTCATTAGTAGTGTTTTCTTCATCCTCCAGTGAAAAAGGAAAAATAAAGGCAATTCAGAACTGAAAATCAGTGACATAGACCTATTAAATTAATTTGTTAGCATGCTTATGGATGTAAGAAATGGCCATTCTGTGAACCCTGCTTTCCAAAACCAGTTATTACTGACTTTATGTTAGTCTCATAGAGTGAACATCTCTTTGTCTGAATATTTTCAGTGATCTTCAGCCTATGCAGTTATTGCTATTTACACTAGTATTTGGAAAACAGAAACAAAATCTATAAGGAATAGGTGACACCATATTGCACATTAAAATTAGTTTATCCACTGAAGCCCATTTTGGAACTCATTTCAGTCATTTTAATAGGTTTCAGTTCTTTTACCCATTGCCTTGCAGCTTCAAAATCCATCTTGGTAGATGGAGCAGGTTCTTTCTCATCCAATGGGATACACCCATAGTAATCTTGATCTACATCATACTCTTCATCCACTAACATCTCCCGCTCTTCACCAACATGCTCCACTACAGGCTTCAAAAATTCATGCATTTCCCATGATTCCTTATCATCATCTCTGTCATTCTTAGCACATTGAAACTGTCTCCCCAAATCCAGGATTGGTTCATCCACAAGTTCTTCTTTAGAAAAAGATCCATTTCTGAAGTCCTGCAAAAAACATCAAAGCAGAGATCTGTAGCCATTCTTTGAAGCAGGGCAGGGAACAACAGAACGCTTTCTGAAATTTATGCTCTGGGAACATCTGAGACTGTACAAATTACTCTGTTCTAACCCTAATTTATAAAATTAATTTTATAAAACAGTTCCAGAATAACAAAGTGCAACTATTCAGTAAAACAGGATATTACTTTGCAGAAAAAGTTCAGATCAGCACTTTTGCTAATTAAACTCCTAAAATACAAATTTGGACTAACTCAGGGATATGAAATTTATGGAAACTGGAAACACAATTTCAGGGATGCTTACTTGGAACCAAGTTCCATTGTGTTCATTGGGCATTATTCTCAAGTAAGCAGCCACAGGACTGTGACCTAAATCACTGAATTTTCAACATCCTTGGCAGCATCCTTGGCAGTCATTATGAAATGGAAAGAACAGAGGGGTCCTACTCCCTCTACTTCCTGGAAGGAGACTGGGGCAAATTTGCACAAACACCCCAAACCCACCTGTAATTGCAACCCCACTCCCCACTGTTGAAATCAGTGCAGCTAAATTCCTGTCCAATTTTGACAGCAGTATGATAGTACAAAAAGAACAAGGCCCTTGAAAACAAAGCACCCGGGGATCATTTAAAGGGGAAAAAATGGCTTTGTGCTGTTATTATGGCTGTGTCTTACCAAAACTGGGCAGCAATGGAGCAGCAGTAATCTGAGGTTGTCAGGACCAGAAAAAGGGACAACAAAACACTAAGCCATTGTCCTCCCTGAGTTAGACTTTCCTGATCAACACAGGAAGGTCAGGGATGCAGAAAGGCTGCTCATATGTCCCCTTCCCACTTTCAATATGGTAATTTCTGCACAGGGCTTATGTAAAGGCAGATCTACGTGATTTGCATGCTGCTTAGAAAGCCAGGCCCCTTTTCTGGGCATGCCTCAACTGACTGAGGAAATAATAAACTCTCTGCATCTTATCAATGAAGGACAGTGTGCCATGATTGCCTTCACATGTTACAAAGGTTCAGGGTGCAATAAGTGCTTAACATATGAATTTGGGTTTTTTTCCCTCAAATTTCCTATGCAATGGAACATGACACATCTCTCCACTCCAGGCTTGAAGAAAGATGCATCTTAATTATGGGTGTAATTGATCTAAGAAAGTATTTAATTTAACAAGACAAGACACAAAAGCCCTCTATGTACCACTTAAATAACATAAACAAAACCTTTGCTAATTCAGGGAGTATTGATGACTCAATAGTATAGACTGGTTCTTGAGATGCTGAATTTCTGGCAATATTCTTGGCATCCATAGTAGAAGAGGCCACATTTTGTTTATTTTCAATCTTAAAAAAACAAAATACACCACTAATTATCAAAATACCAAAGCCCAGTTTGCGAAACAGAAGAGAAAGGCAAGAAACTAGTTTTGGGAGGATACAGGTGGAGAGAAACCCAAAAGAAATGTGGAAGGTAAACTTAAAATATATGAGTGAAGTCATTAAAAAGAAGTACAGAACACAAAAATACAGTGAAATGGCAAGAAACAGCGAGCCAAACATATGGGCAAGATAAAAATTATGCTCATACCCTTATGTTACACTAATTTTATTTCCTCTGCTTTGGTTTACTTCTTGTGTAAGTTCTTATATAAACAGAGTTAACAAAAACAGCAGGGCAGTTTCCATCATGAGCATTTCACTGGCCTAAGCAGAAAATTTCAATGAAACATTAACTTTTTAATGAAAAGTTTTCAGAGTTTGGGGAGCAGCAGTTAATGTAGTAACACCTGAAACATTGCTAAATTTAAATGGGGGAGAACCCCATGAGAGAACAAAGGATTTAAAATGTTTTAAAGTACTATAATCAAAACCTGGATAGCATTTGAATGCGCATACATGAAGTTGGACAGTTTTCCACTCACCCATCAAAGACTAAGAACATGCAAGCAACACCAGAGTCAAGCAAGCATACTCATTCTATATGCAGCCATACATATAAAGAACAAACTCAAAATACTTCTCTGGAGACTGAATGAAAAACACCTACATTTTGACGTAACACAACTAACATACAGGACCTCCTAGGATGCAATGGGTACCCACTGTTGAACAGATTAGCCAAAGTTATTATGGGTCACAGGATAAGAACAGAAATATGTGAACTAACCTATACCAGGAGTACTTATACTATATAAACTCATGAAAAGTGGGCTAGAGAGCATGCTGCAGAAAAAGTCCATTTAAATAACAATGAATGACTGTGAATCTGGCCTGCAGAAAGGGAGGGTTTAATTGAGAACAGTGTGATGACGCTGAACTGAGCCTTCTCAATAGTGGCACTTTATTGATTTCACTGCTACCTGATTTTATCTTGTTGCTGTTTTAGGCTTATTGTTTCATTTAGCAGTATTTCATATTGTAGCTCCATTGTACTGAAGTCACGTCAAGAGCCCTACAGAACTCATACTGCTTTTTTCATGTAAACAGGACAGCCAGGTAAAGCAGTGGCTGTCCTTAACTGGTGCCTGGCTGGGGTGATGGGCTGGATGAGGGCTGATAAATTGAAGCTTAATCCGGACAAGATGGAGGTCCTATTGGTAGACGGCTCAGCCTTTCAGGTAAGTGATTTTAGCCCTGTTCTAGATGGGGTGCACTCCCCCTAAAGGACAGGGTACACAGTTTGGGAGTACTCCTAAACCCAGAACTGTCCCTGGATTCTCAGGTGGCAGCAGTGGCAAGGGGTGCTTTCCTTCAGCTTCAGTGATCCATCAACTGCATCCTTACCTGGATGAGCAGTGCCTAGCAACCATGACTCATGCCCTGCTAACTTTCCAATTGGACTATTGCAACATGCTCTACATAGGGCTGCGCTTGAAGACAGTCTGGATACTTCAATTGGTCCAGAATAAAACAGCCAGTATGTTAATCGAGACCAGCAGGTATGCACATATAACACCGGCCCTCTACCATCTTCACTGGCTGCCAATTTAAGGTGCTGGCAATGATCAATTAAGCCCTGAAAGGCTTAGGAGATGGTTATCTGAAGAATTATCTCCTTCCCTATGTGCCGTCCCACCCTTTAAGATCTGGTGTGGAGGTCCTTCTGTGGAAGCCCTCCTTCAAGGAGATTAGGAGGGCAGCTACCCAGAAAAGGGCCTTCTCAGAGGTGGCACCCTGGCTTTGGAATGCGCTGCCCAGAGAGGTTCACCTGGCACTGACTCTGTATTCCTTTTGGGGCCTTAAGGTGGATTAAGTTTAATGTGGGTTTTACTCATTAGATGTATTAGATGCTATGTTCTATTTTAATCTGTTTTTCTTGTAAGACTGTCCCTGTTGCAGTTGGATGGCATAGAAGAGCTTTAAATAAATAAATAGATAAAAAGAAAGAAAGCCAAGTAAGTCCTGAGTACTTCCAAGGGAATTTTTGCTTGGTCCATCAGCATAATCTTGATCCATTCTTCAAGTCTAATCACAAAGAAACTCAGATACACAAGAATGGAAGGGGGAAATATCTGAACATTTAATGAGAAATGCTTGTCCCTATCAAACTCCATGAGTTTCAATAGTAACACCACCCAAATGAAGCACAAGCTTTGAACAGAAAAAGATGTGAGTTACACAGTCGGCCTTACCATTAAAGGTTTGCAGATTCCAAGGTGAACATTCCCTGGTGGAACAGATTTCAACACTTCGACAGCTTCTTCTAAAGATGTATTGTGCAAACATTTGTCATTTACAAAGACCAGGCGGTCTCCAGGGGAGAGTTCACCACCACGTTCAGCCACTCCATTTGGCACAAGCGAGCTGACCACAAAAATTGCTTTCGTTGAATCTAAGGGATCCTGGAAAATAAGGAAAAGGAAATGTCAGCTTGTTTTTATTCAAACATATGAGATCTCCATACTCAGCCTATCTTATGTCCACTCTTCCTAGCATACAATGGCAGTCACACAAATGTTTCTTTGCTCATTGTATATCTCTCAGCCTTTATAGATGTAAATTACATTATCTGTGCAGAACCAAAAAGATCATGCAAACATCCAAAGAGGCTTGCCTGGCACTTACTTTGGAATCACTTTGTAATCAAATGAAGTCTGGCATAACTTTCAGCTGTTTTATTTCTCTGGGATTATATTTATGCTGTTGTTTTTATTGTCAAATTATATAAAAAATCTATTTTTGTCTCAAGCTACCCTAACAATCCTGTTATAGCCGTTCTGTTAATACAGTTCGTAAACAGCAATTACAAAAAGAAACTTCATACAATCACAAGATATTGGTTGCAACCCCCTAACCAAAAAAACAAAAAAAAACAAAAAAACCCCCAAACACTTCTGATTGGTTAACAATTGATCACACAAAAGCTATAGAGAAAAATCCTTTCACTGCTGATCAAGGCTGCTGTAGGTCCGACTATCACTTTACTTGAACTCAGTCATTGTATTATGCCACTAAATAGAACACTCATGAAATGTTTGATTTGTTTCATACAAGGCCTTAGATTGTAACCAACTCAAGTAGAGACACTGAAATGAAAGGAAATTGTTAGACTAGCATTGGATATAGCACATTCATTTTAAAACATAAGCACAGAAAATAGGTTATGATTGGAAAATGATGGCATATGCAGAGGAAGTACTGTGTGAAATAGAAAAAATTCTGCTGCATATCACTGGATTTTGCAACCAGATTTAGGCATCAGCAACTATACCTTAAGAACTAGTCATAAATAATAAATAGTCTCCATTCTGAGAATCAAATGTTTAGCTACAGGCTGCGGATGAATGAGTGACAATTGCCAGGTGTTACTGTTGTAGCCCTGCATAGTCTGACCATGTTACCAATTTTTAAAAAATGGTCTTTTCTATTTTTCATTCTAATAGGCAGTAAGATTACAAAATAATTTGTACTATCATATACTTTAATATGATTTTCTAAGAGCCTTATTTGAACCAAATGCTACCATTTAAAAGCTATTATATCAGGTTAAAGTGACAGCCAAATGACTTTGAAAACAAATTCTAAGGTCAGTTGATGATTATAAACTAAAGAAAACTAAATTAGATTAACTAAATCAAATTAACATACTGTAAAGGCAGTATACAAATATTTGGTGTAAAAAGTAAATAATGGATTTAATAAAGGTTATAACTACTCTACTTTTTCAAGCAGAGGGAGCTCTTGCACAAGAAGAGAAAAGAAGCTGCAGAATCAATCAGCTAAAAATGTACATACTGCTGAACATAGAAAGTGCTTTGCCCCCAAAAGATCTGAATGGCGATATAAAACTTGGTTGAAGATGCACAATCCCACCTGTAAAGCTAATTTATTTTATACATCAAGCAATAAGAGCTTTTCTTCCAGGACTTGGAACTCACCAGCTTTTCTACACAGAATAGTATTCAGGTAGCAACTTTGTGTAAGGTGCCAATGCCATTTTTACAAAAACACCAAGTCTGAGGACAGTATTCAGAATGCAAACATCCATTAATTACTGTCCTGCTGTATTTTAAGACTTATGGCATCTCCTATGATTGAAAGAATCCATTTCTGCTTATGTTAGAATTGCTATGTTGTTAGTCACGAAGTCATGTCCGACCCATCGCGACCCCATGGACAACATTCCTCCAGGCCTTCCTGTCTTCCACCATCTCCCGGAGTCCACTCAAGTTCACACCAACTGCTTCAGTGCCTTCATCTAGCCATCTCATCCTCTGATGTTCCCTTCTTCTTTTGCCATCTATTGTTCCCAGCATTAGACTCTTCTCCAGGGAGTCCTTCCTTCTCATTAGGTGGCCAAAGTATTTGAGTTTCATCTTCAGTATCTGGCCTTCTAAAGAGCAGTCAGGGTTGATCTCCTCTAGCACTGACCGGTTTGATCGCCTTGCACTCCAAGGGACTCGCAGGTGTTTCCTCCAGCACCACAATTCAAAGGCTTCGATCCTTTTGCGCTCAGCCTTCCTTATGGTCCAGCTTTCACAGCCATACATTGCAACTGGGAAAACCATAGCCTTGACTATGCGCATTTTTGTTGGCAGGGTGATGTCTCTGCTTTTTAGTATGCTGTCTAGGTTCGCCATAGCTTCATAATAGGCCTTCACAGAACTGGTCAACTTCAGCCTCTTCAGCACCAGTGGTTGGGGCATAGACTCGAACTGAGATCATGCTGTCATTTTGGAGATTGTATCCCAGTACTGCTTTTCCTACTCTTTTATTGACTATGAAGGCTACTCCATTTCTTCTGAAGGATTCTTGCCCGCAGTAGTATACCTGATGGTCATCTGAATTAAATTCACCCATTCCTGTCCATTTTAGTTCACTGATTCCTAAGATGTCGATGTTCAGTCTTGTCATCTCTTGTTTGACCACATCCAGCTTGCCTTGATTCATGGATCTTACATTCCAGGTTCCTATGGAGTATAGATTTTTGCAGCATCGGACTCTCCTTTCACCACCAGATACATCAGCAACTGAGTGTCCTTTTGGTTTTGACCCAGTCGCTTCATTCTTTCTGGAGCTACTAGTACTAGCCCTCTGCTCTTGCCCAGTAGCATATTGGACACCTTCCGACCTGAGGGGCTCATCTTCCGGTGTCATATCTTTTTGCCTTTTGGTACTGTCCATGGGGTTTTCATGGCAAAGATACTGGAGTGGGTTGCCATTTCCTTCTCCAGTGGATCACGTTTTGTCAGAGCTCTCTGCTATGACTTGTCCGGCTTGGGTGACCCTGCATGGCATAGCTTATAGCTTCATTGAGCTACGCAAGCCCCTTCACCATGACAAGGCAGTGATCCATGAAGGAGAGAATTGCTATACTCTAAACCAAAAATGTTGTAGGTTTCCCTTTGATTACTTTCACAGCTGATAATTCAAAACTCTTCTAAAACAAGGCAAAAAAGAAAAAAGAGATCCTGCAATCATACATGTGGCTCTTTTATTCATTGCCAGATTCAGTGGACTGCGCCCTCTTTCAGTTTCAGGATGGAAAGGTAAAGGCCTCTATTACCTCTGAGATAACGTCACAACTGAAAAAAGAATTGTATGGGTAGCCCACACACAAAGCTGTTTGAGAAAGTCTCTCTCTCTCTCTCTCTCTCTCTCTCTCTCTCTCTCTCTCTCTCTGTGTGTGTGTGTGTGTGTGTGTGTGTGTGTGTGTGTTCACTCAGTTACAATTTCTGGAACTACTCAGGCAGCCACTTCATACAAACAGCTTACCTTCTGGAAAGGTGACAGGAAAATACTTTTGCAAGGTGATGATTGCACAATTGGGGTAAATCTAGATGGTTGAAATATATTAAACCTAAGGCCTCACATAAAAAATCATAGTTCCTGAACTATGCATTTCATGGATCTTCCAGTCCATAAAACAAGGGTAACACAGTGTTTTTGGACACCTGGAGGTCCCTGCCAGCATGAGCAAATTCAGGAACGCTGGGAACTTATTTCCAAACAAATCACTGTCTGCCCATCCATGCAGTAGAATACATGTTTGTGCCTTTTTGTCATCAAGACTTCCACGGAAAATGCCCTCTGTGCAGTTTCTGCTTGGAGCCCTATATTTTGGGTGGTATCAATCTTCTCAAACCTTGGTATCATTAAAAAGAAATGAAACTTTCAAGAACCGTATCTGCAAAGCACAAAGATAGTCTAAACCTTTCTGTGACTTAGGGACATTAATGCACAGGCAAAAAAGCTGGTTGGAGTGCATTGGGAGTTGTAGGCTTTCCCCCCACCTAAACTTGCATAGCGACATGCGCTGGACATGCTCCCTCCCTGCAGTCACCAGGCAAAAGCCATTTCTTGACTCTCTTTATTGTTTCTACATATAAATCATCCAGTGATGCCTCTGAGCTACACAAAGCAGTTAGCTGACCCAGTTTAGCAATCAGTCCCCACAATTCCTTAAGAGTGCACTTGTGAACCGTCCCCCCGGGAGGAGTACTGTGAAAGCAGACCCCTCTGTTCTACACACTTCACATCCAATTGTGCTTCTCACTTCTGCTGCCACCTAGCCAGGGGCCCCAGTTTGGGAGGGAGCAGGCAGTCCATGTTTCAACTGGCTCTTCACTCAGTGGCCCTCCTGCTGGCTGTATCTCATTCCTGTTTCCATGAACTGCCAGCACCTCCTCCATTTCACAGCTAACTCTAATCTGACCCACTTGCATGTTGTCCAGTTTGTTCCCAAAACTTTGCACAGCCCCCTGTCACTCAAACCCAACAAAATATTCAGTTTCTTTTTCTAAATATGAATCAGCAAGTATTGCACTATTTGTGTCCCATGGGAACACTTGCCAAAGCCCACCATCATGCTTGTTCACAATATATAGGATTACACATTTTGAGACTTTTGTACTTCATTTCCTCATGCTCAGATAATGCTTATTATTCCTAAATAGTTTCCAGAATAGAAAGGAGTCAAATATTCCCAATACATTGCAGTTAAATATATATTCCCTGGATATGACTCACTCCTTCTCTAAACTTTCTCACATAGATATAGCACTAAAAGCATGGATTTATTTTATTTCAGTAAATATATCACCAGAAGCCAACAGAGGGCACCAACAGACTAACCTATTACTAAAAGTGTTTGATGCAGATAGCCCAATAAAATATTGCTTTGTTCAGTCATCAAATTAAGACTCCAGCATATTGCCATTGCCACCCCCAGCTGTATGCTAGAAGGTGAGAGGGCCAGTAAGATATGGCAGGAAACTAAAAGAAGAGGAATATGAACTTGGTGGCCTTGGCCATGAAGGAGCCATGGCAGGATTAAGCACCAAGAAAATCCATGATGAGGGTTAGAGTTGGTGGATATGGCACAGAAGATGAAGCAGAAAGG